CGGCCAGGTCAGCGGTCCGATCCGGCATCTGTTATCGAGCGGCATTCGGTGATTACACAATGTGTGACAGTGTGGAAGTGCTTTTTTGAGACACACGATCACCTCTAGTCGTCCTTCAAGGCATTATGACGGTTCGACATTTTAACTCCAGTTGTACTATATATGCTATCAAGTCGCCAATGGGCCATTTATCTGCAAGACAACGTTCGTCCACATATTTCGTGACTCACCCAACAGTGTCTTACAGGATATGACGTACTCTCGTGGTCTGCTAGATCACCAAACCTCTCTCCAATACAGCGCGTTTGGGACATTCTTGAAAAGCAACTGCAGCCGTCCCGGAATATTGATGAATTAACTACCCATTTGCAAAGATTATGGCCTGATATTCCGCAGGGAGCCTACTTGATTGGTAGTAGGTGGCCTACTTGATTCGATGCCACGCGGTATTTCGACTTATATAGCTGCCAGAGACGTCTGTACTATTTACTGATTTATAACATTTTCCATATCATAACTTCTTAATAAAACGATCTTTTGTTCTGAATTTGTAATCATTTGTTTACCTTCTCATATACTACGTACATGTTAAGTTTCGTGATAAAACTTCGTTTCCCTCTGGGTGCACATATTTTTTGTGATAGAGTGTATAAATACAAATTATGCTGATATATCTGCTATTTAATTTTCTCTTACCAATATACTATTTTTATTTCAAATGAGATAGATTAACTGTAAGATGAAATATAAATTTCTTTGTTCAATTTTCTTCTTGTATATTCATTTGCAGAGCAGTAAATTAACAGGCAGAATATAAATTTAAATTCAGAGGAAGGGAAGGGTAGAATTATTTTTATTATGTCGTTTTCTATAATTCGAAGTTTTAGGTGAATTCAAATATCGTAATCGCAAATATATTGCAATATCGTAGTATCAGATGTGACTGCAAACATCACTGGCAGGAAAGAAATATAGGTGAAAAGGGGAATGAGATGAGAATACACAACCTGTATCTAGTTAGAAGAGCTGTAACGCCTCTGTGTACGTTAAAAATATTTTTTTAAATATTAAAAGTGATTAACGACGTACAGAAGCTAGTTAAATACGGAGCATGAATTGAGTATTTGAAGGGAATTCTTTAGCTGGACTTCAACGGCTTTGTTATAGCTTGTTTTATTTCTACGAAACCTTTCAAAGAAAATTACGAACGTCAACTAAATTATGATTACAGTGACATGTATAAGGCAGAATTCATGGTTAATAGAAAAGTATTTCAATGTTTTCTTTATGATATTGCTAAGGAAATCGAAACAGGAACGTGGAAAGTCGGTAATTTGGAGTTTTTTCAGTTTATTCTAAAATAGAGTCTTTAAAATACATTCCACATATTGTAATATTATTAAGAACTTTTCTTACAATGGCTGTGAGTGTTGATAGTTGTCAGAAGAGTTTCTAAATAAAAGTCCTTTAAGAAGCATTTATGAACTATAAATGTCTATTTTTCATTTGAAAAATCTTTCTATACTGTCAACATTACAACAACTGTTGCAATCAAATAGAGCTTTAGAATGCCATCGATAATTCTGCAATAAAAAAAAATTACAATATAATTTCAAAATGTTAAAATAAAAAATTTTCTGCAAAAATGCGTACAGAATTTAAATTTATTTCCCTATATGTCATTTTGACACTTTTTTTTTAATTCTTTCTATATCAAGAAGAGCAGCAAATTCGGAGACCAGCTCAGGCGCCGAAATCAAATATAGCCCCTGGCAGCGAGAGCTCCGCTTGTTCTCAGCCGCGCGCCGGCCTGATTTCCGTTTACCTTATTGGTGAAGTCTTTGGTCTCCGATTTGATTCATGGCATAGAAAATGTGAGATTCTTGCAGTGGTGGAATTCAGTCAGTTTGTATCAGTTTAGCAGAATCGATTCCTAAACTATTTTTAATTTGGGAAATTCGTTATTAAAATCAAATTGTAAAATTTATTTACGCAATTTATTGCCATATAGTAGCTAATTTTATCACTGGAAAACATCCAATAAAATTTAAAACTTCAGCACGAGTTTATGGTATGATGGCATTCTGAAATTTTCATGTAAATACAAAATTCGTTCAATTTTTAAAGGAAGACACTAAATTTTAAACGGTAATTCTTAATTTTTTGTCATAAATAAAGGTAGGAAAAATTAATTTCATAAGGCAAATTTTGTCTTTAATTCTGTAGCACATATCGCTTTAATTTAAGTAAATCTTGGCATAGAGAATCACGAAAATAACGGCAAAGAAAAAAATATTTCACAGTGCTTTTATGAAACAATAACTTATTTCATACTTCCTTCAAATGCATAGCTGTGAAACGAAAATTTTTGACGATTGATTTTTGACATGATTGCCACATGAAACTATTCAGCGCTGTTATGCCGAAGGACAGAGATGGACAAACTACGGCCCCCTGCAATGTTCTATCCGTCCCGCGGATAGAATTTTAATTTGCGGATCCGAGGCAAATTAATATATATTTATCTATTATATATCCATCTCCCTTTCTATTTTGTTTAAAGATTATTTTTCTTCCCTTTTCTCAAAGGATTGATGATCTTTTTACTTTCTCAATTTTTGTTCTACAGAACATAAATCGACGGAAATAATATTAGCAAGCACAGACAGCTTTCAATTGGTAAAGTGTTAAAAACTGAAGATTTTTGGGTCGACGCAGAGAACTCTGTGAGGCTACTGGCTAGGATCTGTACCTAGGCAGGCTCGGCCACGGGGGCGTAAAATCATTGAACTTGATGGTTTCACGTGCTCAGGGGGGGGAGAATCCTCAGGACTAACTCTGTTGGCCTGCCTGGGTAGGTCGGCGTAAGTCATGGAGCAGTAGGCTCTGTAGCTCGGTGTGATGACGGCAGCTCGGTATGGGACGGCACCGAGTTTTCTAGGTAATGTCCTGCTGCGAACTGCAGCCATCGTAGTACTGGCAGATAGCATTTTAGACGGCCAGTCAGATCTCCAAGCTTATAGTGTCCTGCCACGGTGAAACCTGAGAACCGGGAGGAATGACCCCGCAGGCCCAGGAGGTAGCCGTGATTATAGAGACCATTTTAAAGTCTGCCACCCAGGATTGGGAACCCGGGGTGGTAGCATGATTAGAGTGTATTCTAACCCTCTTGGGAAACTTATCTGGGATCCAGCTCCTTGCCTGATATGGGGGTTCCTTAGTTGGTACCAGATCGTGTAATGTCAAGCATGGGGCATGTACTACAATTGTTATTATTATTATAGCTGTAGATTGCCTCCAACAAGCGTTATTTCTTTCTCGAGGAGCAGATATACGGGAATCCAATATAGGTGAATTAGACCTCACATGTAGCAGACTGCACATTTTAAGCTCAAACCAGCGGCTTTTTCTTTTGGCGCGAGTTCTAATATTATTGATTGTGTATGGAAAGATTGCAGACATACAGCATAATTGTGAATAGTGGTGAAATTATTAAAAGTATAGAGTAGCTAGTTCTTGTTTGAGTTATTCTTAAAATATTTCAACCCCAAAATGGCTACTAGAATACGTAAAGTTGATTCAGAGTGCCGTACTTAAGATAAACCAGCGTGTCTCCTCTGCAACGGAGCTGTAGCAGTCTTCAAAGAATATAATATTTCCCATCTAAGCATAAGAATTCAAATTATGAAGCAATGTCCGAATCTGAAAGTAAACGAAATGCAGAAGGTCTTTGTGAAACATTTTCAGGTCAACAAAATTTTTTCAAGAAGGTAAACAGTGCCCAAGAGGCAGCTACCATACATATGGTAGTATACATATGGTAAGTATTGCTAGAAATAAGAAAGCTTTCAGTGTTGGGGAGTTCGTTAAACAATGCATGCTCAAAGTTTGTGATTTTCTATGTCTAGACAAGAAAAATAATTTTGAGATTGTAAGCTTATCTCAAAACGGTGACTTCTAGAATCGAATACATAGATAAAAATTTAAAATCACAATTAGAGTCAAAGATTGGTCACTTTAAATTCTGGCTCTATAGTTATGGATGAAAGCACTGATATAAATGATACTGCTCAATTAGTATTTTTTATAAGAGATGTTGATGAGAGCTTTGAAATTACCGAGGAACTGGCGTGCATGCGTTCTTTAAAGGGAACCAAAACGGAATGTGGTTGTGACCTTGCTCACAGGCTATTTCGAGATTTTCTTTAATCCGTGCTATATGAGTACTCTGATGTACTGTATTACATGAAAGTAAGGTGGCTTAGTGCAGGATGTGTTTTCGAGCGAGTTTGGCAGCTCGAAGACGGTTTTCCATGAGAAACAGTGTTCTGCGGAGTGCGGAATATTGGAAGATACAGAATTGCTTTCGGACTTGCATATTTCACAGATCTTCTTTTTCATATGAGCAACGTGAATGTCAAGATGATAGGGAAAATTCAATTTATCGACGATATGTGGACCAATCTCAAAGCTTTTAAACTAAAACTTAATCTATATGCTGGGAAGCTAGAAGAAGTATTTTACTGATTTTGGTCCAGTCCTGCATGACTCAGACTAAGAGTATCAACATCATTACGAATTTTATCGCTTTTAAATGATTGAATAAGACATTTAGGGGAAATGAGGTACTCTAACAATGAGGTACCTTTAGCTCCACTCGCCTTCGATAAGTCAGAAAATAGCTACATCACCAGTACTGAAAATACATTTAGAAAATTTCTCTATGAAGACAAGAAAAGAAAGCGACTTTTAATTCTTTTCAGAAATATATTAATAGATTTTATTGATTATTTACTTTTACTTGTTTCCGCAAGTTACTAGCGGATAATTCATTTCAGTATTTGTTTCTTTCCATTCTAGAGTAATTAAATTTTATGAAATAAAATAAAATTTGATAAAAATATGTTGTTAAATTTTTAATATCATAGAAATAGCATGTATTAATTATTTGAGTAATTAAACTTTGGGTTTTCTTTATTAACGTACAAGCTGCGTAATTGCGATATTTACGATTAGCTGGGCTAGTCTGAAAATTTAATATGTTAGAAAAGTGATCTGTTATTAAAAAGCTTTAATTGAATACGGCGGACAGATAAGGTATTACAGGTAGTAACCCTTTGTTTTATATTGCATTTATACTTCATATCCTTATCATAAATTGCGGAAGTTTAAACATTAGGGAATGAAATGGCGCCGCTACTATGGTTGTTTGTGTAGGTGCCCGTAGCGTCTTTCTGTCAATTTTACTGGCTGCAATGTTTTAAAGCGGGATAATGGTTTCGTAACTGTGTATTCATAGGGGTTGAACTCTTATTTCATTTCTTATTAATTGATACTTGTACATATATTTTTATTTGTTTACAGATCAAATTATACATTGACAAATATTCAAATTATTGTAGCGAATAAACTGTGGATGAGTATTCTGTAATGGTCATTTATCTATTAAATGTATTAATATATGCGTAGTGTTATGAATTTCTATGTAAATAATCAGATATCCGTTACGAGCTATTAATTCATAGATAAAAGTTTTCACGTTTTTCGTCCTCTAAACGTAGTGAAATTCGACAAAAAAGGAAAAATATGCCACAGATATGCTGTACCACATGTTTATTTTATTACCAATTTGATTTAAAAAAAATATATATTTTCATAACTATTTGATTTAAAAGTATCGGGGGCCATTAAAAATAGCAGTGTTACGTTTGCAATGCGGATTAATTTTATAAGGGACTATTCATTACATTATTCGTAAGATTTCCCTTGGGTGAAAATAGCTAAATACGTGATAACGTTTGATAATTGCAACTAAACTTTCAATGATATCATTTTTTCATCTTTAATTGTTGCAATAAAATGATAAAAATTAATCACTGAATTTAAATACGATAAAAAAAGTATGAAGATTATCCTCCCATTAGTTCCAAATCAACTGCCCCCCCATTTCAAATGGGAAAGAACATGAAGGAGGATTTTTAATATTTTCAATAATACATCTACTATAAAATTCTCAAAATCTGCATAAATGTTATATTTTTGTAAACATTTCTTAATTCAGGTGTAAAGTAAAATTTTATAATATTCAGTTCTTTAAAACTTGAATTATGCTCAGAGAAGATGAATAATATAATATGAATATTTATTTAAATGATCATAGTGGTAGAAATTTAAAAGATTAAATGTCAAAACTTGCAGTTTTCATTTTTATAACGGAATGAAAACTGCCACTGATTATTTATCTGAAGTATATTTTATTTATTTTTTCATAAGTTTTATTTTATTTTTTGGCATATGGAGTAATTCCTAATATTTTATATATATTTCATGAAAAGCTTTAGTGTTCCTAATTGATTTTTTAAATATCATGCTTGTTTATTTATTACCTCCTTTTCCCAAATTTTTACTGCTTGGAGCCAGTGGCATAGCCGCTGGGAACATGAGGAGGGATGCCCATATCTTGAAACAAAATTTCTGTAACTAATTTAATTGTTCACTGTTTTAATTCCTAACATTTGTGGAAAAAGAAATTAGGTGTACATAAATTCAAAACTCTTTTGGAAAATTATTGTATTTTACATTTTTAATAATGTAATATTTATCTCTTGTTAGCTGTGTTTTCTTCATGCTGTTGATATTCTTCGTGATGAATTCTTGCATAACTTTCATGCTTCATCTTATTATTCTGAATAAACGTTGTACTATTGTTTCAAGCAAACACGTTTTGTAACTCTACTAAGATATTTAGAAAACTCCATTTACACTAATTTTTAAAACAACATGAAAGATAAATGTTTAATTATAAGTACTGAAGAAAATTGAGAAAAGCTGTTATTTTTTCATGTTTATGTTATTGGGTCAGTCCATAAATTCATTTGCATTTTTTGGTAAATTTTTAAATGATTTAAAAAACACAATTTAACATTTTAATCAATTATATATTTTTCTCCATTATTTACAATTTCTCGCCATCTTACAGGTAGCTTTTTTATGCCATTGCTGTAGAAAGACTGTGGTTTTGATTCAAAAAACTTGAAAGTTCTTTGTATACATCTTGTTTAGAATTTCATTTTTTCCCCCAGTAAAAAATTTTATAAGGCGAAATAAGTGAAAATCACTTGGGGCAAAAGTTAGTGAAAATGATTTCCTCAATCAAATAAATTGGGATACAGTTTTAATTAGAAGCTTATGATGATTTATTTCAAATCAAAAGGAGGAATTTGAAATAATATAAATTAATATTAAGTATTGACATATGGCTGACATAGGAGGATTATCTGCAAAAACTTGCATGTTCAACGAAAATTAAGGCCTGTTTACATATGACAGAGTAGCTCGTAACGAGCCACTTGTTACAACTACTTTGACAATATAAACGCTCACTTCGGCGAAGTAGAAACATAGGGAAGATGAGTCAGAACTTCCGTTTCTACTTTGAACCTGTTGAAAAATCTATTCGGGCAGTTACTTCGAGTTTGCAGAGACGATAGTAATTACTATGATGTCCAAAATTCCGAGATGGAGCGACAGCCAAACCATGACATTTTTGAATGCATATGCATCTTATAAAGTGTTATGAGACACTTCACTAGCTGAATACAAAGATAAAAATCGAAGACAGAACGTGTATGAGGGCATTATTAAAACACTAAATTTTGAGGGAATTGAAATTGCTGAACTGAAACAAAAAATAAATAACTTTCGTTCAACTTATCTCCAGGAGCTGAAAAAAATTGCAAATTCAAAGCGATCTGGAACTTCTGGAGATAGTATTTACAAACCATCTATCGTATGGTTTCATATGGCAGACTCCTTTTTACGTCCTCATGTGGCTCAAAGGAAAACTCAAAATAATTTGGTAAGTACAAACTTTTCCTTGAAATATACTTTATAACTGTGCATGAAGTAATTTTTATCTCAAAGATCAGACTCACTGATGTAACATATTTTAATTATGTTCAATAATGTGAAATATGTTCATTCACACGTTTTCTTAGTTTATAGTTTTTTATGTACTCTCTATATAAATACTGCTTCATTAATAAGTTGCAGCCTTCTATACTTATGTGAACTTATAGTTCATTTTTCTACAAGCATCCCTACATGAGGATGCAATAAATATATATTATAAACTATAAAAATAAAAATGGAATTATAAAAAAAATATATAGATCTGTTTTATTGGGAGATATTTAAATTTGTTGCTTTGTATAAAAACATTCTGGGGGTTTAATTTGTTAAAATTCAGCTTGGATGTGAAACACTGAGTAAAAGTACTTAGGTGTATTAGGTTTATCAAATTATGCTAGATGAATTCTAATTTTCTTAAATTATCCGTTTCAGCATTTTAAAAATAAAGTATAATTGCTATATTTAATCATTATTAATATTTTTATATCACTTTATATATTGTGTTGTCCAGAAACACAATTTCAATAGTATCCAAAAGTAACAATTTGCAATAAATATCTTCCTCTTGGAACTATGTCATAATATATATATTCTTTTATCTGTGATAATATATGTAATGCTCCCAAGTTTTTTTTTTTTTTTTGCTACTTATTTATTTAAGATTTTCTGAATAATTCGATGGATATTATACAGTTTATTTCTGTTGTGTTAATGGGTAGCTTTGAATAAATATTCCATGTGTTAATTTTGCATTCTGCTCTAGAAATAATACAGTTCCAGTCAGAAATCTGCATAGTTAATTACATGCACAAAGAGCTACTGATTCTGTGGATTCTGGATGAATAAATACATTATTTCTATCAGTAAATAATAAAACACATTATTACTTTTACATTATTTTGTAAATGATTAATTAGGTGTAAAAAACAGTTATATATAGTAGAAAAACTTTGTTAATTTGAATTTCAATAACCACAGTTGACTAAATAACTTCCTTCAATAAGCTGATTTTCTTTTAAATCAATTGACTTTTTCTCAAACAAACATTTCCAATAACCCTGTCATGAACAGTTATTTTCCAAGAAAATAAACAAACACTGGTTTGGAATCTAACTTTTCTTAGAAGACCACTACCACTGTCCATGAGTAGTTATCTTAAGTCAGAATTATAATTTTTTCATACCTAATCCCCTTTCGATTTAAAAAAAAAAAAAAAAAAAAATCCTCTGTTAGTATCATGTATTATGTATAGCTGTGCAAATTTTAAACTAACTTTAGTTCAGTAGCTACCCAGAACACTGATAGCTGGGCAAAATCCCAAGAAGCAGGCTCAGTGTTTTCTCCATTTTAATATGTATATAAGCCAGTTTGCTTTAGAAATTCCTTTAAGAAGGCATTTTCCCCTGTGATATTTATTATGTGATTTGCCATAATCAACTCCTTTTCAGTTTATGAACATAGATGTATGTTCATAAATGCATTCCTTCCTTATACAATTTCTATTACGTTTCTAATTTAAGTTCTTGTATCAAACAAAATTTTGATCAAGATATAATAATTTTTTCACATTTTTGCTGTTAACATCAATCAATTAGTTTACTTGATTTCATTCTTACATTTCATATCCAAAAAGTCAGTAAGAATTTTTGGCACTTCTCTGTTTACAACAGCCTCTGAGACTGCATCGCCAGTCAACCGATGGATCTCACTAAAATCTGGGTGAGTGTTCTTATACCTCTCCATGTGATTGTACATTAGTACTGACTGTATATTCTTATCCCTTACTACCTAATTAGATTTTGGTATCACGTTCCATTTTTGCTCTTGCTATGCGTTTTTCACATTTTTTTTTTAAATGTATTCATTGCTTTTTTTGTGAGTGTGAACATGATATGAACAGTCTGTAATTTAACAAATAATGAAATGGATGCCATATCATTTTTTCAAGGAAGAGGTATTTTACATAAGAATCAAGCATGCGAAGATGGCCACAGCATGAAACTTTATGTTAACAACGAAACCATTTGGATGGGCAATGTTTGCAAAAAGGAGAAGGGCCCCTGTGGTTGGAAATTGGTTTAGTGGTTCAATAATTACATATAATAAAATAATAAGGATAAGGATTCTTAAAAATAATCTTAGGAAACGACATGCAAGTATTATTGTTATTATATACTGTGTTGTTTATTTTTACATTCGTGCTTCATGTGCTAGCCGAGATCTTGGTGCAAATCTAAAATTGCCAAATATGGTTGGGGCCTAGTATAACAATGAAATACCATATTTTTTCAAAACTGAAAAACAATAAACAGTCTTTTTATATACCAACACATGTTTACAGCACATGTACTAGTTTACTATTATTTTAATCAATAAATATTTTTTTTCTTACTTAAGTAGTTTGAATAGCTTTTCTCCTTCTTAATTAGTTTGTACCAACATAAATTTACAACCATAGGATTAGTTTTTACATTATATATTTCATATTTAGTATGCTTCAGACTGATGCATTATTGTAAATAATAAAAAAAATTTAAAATTACTTTATTTACAAATATTTACTTCCACTTGGATGTTACAGATGTTGTAACATCCAAGTGGACATGCATATGCTTGCATATTTACATTGCATGTTGCCAGGGAAGAGCTCCCTCTGCATTCACATACAGACAAAATGCATCGCGTTTCCTTGTTGCTTCTTTTGATGGGTTATGTCCTGGCGTAAAAGATGCCGATATGGGAAGAAATTCCATAGGCTGCGGAATGTTCCTCCAGGATTCTGGAGTGAAATTAAAACTGTTGAAATCTTCCTCATCATATGATCCTGGTGGCATGTATGTTGATTTACCTGTTGTGCGTAGAAAATTATGTAGTGCACAGATTTTTTTTGGGCTCAGAGGTATTGGTTTAAAATAAATTTGGAACCGTTGAGCCATTAATACCAAAGGCATTCTCAACAATTCTCCGAGCCCGTGAAAGTCTGTAATTAAATATTTTCTGTTCCTTTGACAGCTGTCTTCGTGAGTATGGTTTCATTAAATATTTTGTCAAAGGAAATGCATCATCGCCTACAAGAAAACCATCTTCAGGTAGGTTTAATGCATTTGGTTTCAAGTGCTTTTTTCATAGCAGAATTGCTGAAGACCCTCCTGTCTGAGCATCTTCCATTTGCTCCCACATCAATGTAGCGAAATCTATAATCATGGTCTACAACGGCCAGCAATATGATGCTGAAGGATCCCTTATAGTTATGGTAGATGGATCCGCTTCTGGGAGGTGCTTTGATAACAACATGCTTGCCATCAATAGCTCCATAACAGTGAGGGAAGTTCCATCTCATTAAGAATCCTTCTCCAATCTCACTCCGTTCTTCAGAAGTCTGGGGACACTGCAACAATAAAAATGACATTTGATTAAATGTAAAAATATCTAACATTTTAACAAACTTAATTTTAATAAAACCAGAATTTTTTTTTTTTTTTTTTTTTTGAGTTTTGGTTTAAGATAAATTAAATTTCATGTCTGTCAAGAATTATGATTGATTTATTCATTGTTATTTGTTTTTGTATTCTAACAGGTTTTAAAAGCAAATGAAGGCAATTCTGAAGGTGCTGCAACAACAGAGTGGGAAGAAAGCACAGATTGTGATGAGCTTACACTAGATAATAGCTTACCATATGAAGTGCAGATGGAGCTGCACAATCATCTGGCTTTGCTCTGAGCCAAGTTGTGAAAAGAAAACGAACAGTGGTACCTAGGGGTATTGACAGTGCCATATTGAAGTTAAAAAAAATACGGAAGTTGCAAAATGTGCTCGCGAAGAACACGTGTTCGACACATTTGGGAAAAGTGTTGCAGTCCAGTTGAAAGCACTGCCAATGTGTGATGCACTGGAGCTGCAAATTGAAAGCCAAACTTTGATTTCAAAAAAATTAATTGAAAAAGAAGAGAGACAGTTGTTAGTTGTGACAGTTTTGCCACAATTAAATGAAAGTGGCACATATGATACAATTTATGTGCCTCATATATAAATAAAATTAATTTTAATAATTCTATTTGTACTTGGTCTATAAATACTTTGACAAAAGTTACTGAAATTCATAATTTTCACACACAATTTGTTTTACTGCGTGATAACCACAGAGAATCAATTTTAAATGATATGTATATGTTTAATGCCATTGATGGCAGGGTGAACTATATTATTAGCTTCAAGTATCGCACTAGGCAAGTATTTATATGAATTTGCGTAAATTATATTAAACTCGCATGTTACAATAAATTTACTTATAAGACAATATTTTACAATTATTAAGTGAAAATTAAAAGTAAATATTATCCTGTGAAAATGATTTATTTTTGTACTTCTTTTATATTTCTCATCGCATTAAGTAGGCAAATGTCGATATTTTCTGTTATCAGGACCAGATTCAGAAGTGCATACATACATTTCTGAATCCAGTCCTCCAATAACATAAAAAAAACATTTACATGTGAACCTTACAAAATTGTAATATTCTAATAAAGAATTTTTCACTTTTCGTAGACTAGTGGCCTCTAATTTCGACTATGCGTAATGTATGCTTAACGCATGTGCAGGTTGAAAGAAATGCTTAATAAAGTAAACAAATAAATATTAAGCTTTTTTTTTTGTAAATTTTGATACCCTTTATACCATAATTGCTCTTTATTTCATAAATTATGGTTTCATATTTTTAATTTTATAATTTCTGCATGCCATCTTACCAGATTTATAATGATGATCTATAATCCGAAATCGCCGAAGTCCCGACGAGTCTGGATTAAAGACTTTTGACTGTATATGCACATGCATAAATACATTTCTGAATCTGGTCCGGATAACAGAACAGTACCTAATATCATTGGCTCTATGTATTGAAAATTGTAAATAATAGTTACATGTAAAATAACGACACTTACCTTTATAAAATCTTGCAATGATGAGAAAATAGCCTCACACACTTCTGGAATAAATATGCTAATTGTGCATTTTGGTACTTGAAATTTTTGTACATTTTGTACATTTTGGTACTTATACCTCTGTATAAATTAATAAAACACATGTGAATAGATACACTCGTATTACTGTAATATGCTATTCCATCAATTCAGATTAGTTATTCTTTTTTTATTCTAATTTATATGTTTTTTAAAACATAATTAAATTTAACTTACTGAAAATATTATCCTTAACTTTACTGGAAAGTACATTTCAGAAAATTTATACTAATGGGTTGGTTCGTTACAAATTGCTGAGAAAAAAATGAATTCGTGACTTTCGATTTTTTTTTCCTAAAAAGCGCTGTTTCTTTTCTTTCTTTCTTCTTCTTTCATTTTCTTTCTTTCTTTTTTTTTTCTTTTTCTTTTTTTTTATTTTTTTTAAGATCAATCACCTCATAATGTTGGCAATTCAAAACAAACATTATTTGCATTGATTGCATTTAGTTTGTATATTGCACATATTTGTTTTGCAGAACATAAATGTGGTATCCGTTAGTTCAACACAGCCACCAGAGGGCATCATGTATACACCGATGGCAAGAGCAAAATATAGATAGATGTTGATTCCATGTGCAGGTGGTAACAAAAGAACTCAGTTAAAATAGCAGTTGCTAGTAGGCGCTGTGTAGCTGTTTAAATACAGTACAAAGTCCTTAATCTGGACTCGTCAGGACTTCGGCGATTCCGGATTATAGATCATCAATTTAAATCTGGTAAGATGGCATGCAGAAATTATATAAATAAAAATATGAAACCATAATTTATGAAATAAAGAGCAATTATGATCTAAAGAGTATCAAAATTTGCAAAAAAAAAAAAAAAAAAAAAAAAAAAACACCTTAATATGTATTTGTTTTCTTTATTAAACATTTCTTTCAATGTAAGTTGTTTAAGTTGCTTTGTTTTTTTGCTAATACTTTCTGTTTAATTATTCTATAAGCAGACATAATTTCTTGTTCAGTTACAAAGTTCCACTGTTCAAGTCCTGTAATTGCTGTGTCGAGAATACTGACTAACCTGTCAATTGAACTTTTTTGTTTTCAATAACCTCTCTGTCACTTTCTTCACTATCGGAAGTGACGCATGCACTCATGCATATCATGCATAAAGCTTACAAAAAAAAAAGTTTGTGGCTTTGAGGTCCGGATTATAGATCATTCCGGATAATGGACATAAGGATTGTGGACTTTGTACTATACTTAAAGTCAACTGTATTTGTATCTAACAAGCACAAGAACACGCAATGTTACTGTTATTTAATTCAAATCTGTAGCATTTCTATTATTATTTATTAAATGTGGCGTGGAAGTGTTATTTACTTAAGGACTTCAACTCCCCAACCACAGAAAATCTTGGGCCTCCAACCAACAAACAAGCAAGGTAAAATATTGTTTTGCATTAATTTACTATTGTAATCATGAGTGTATTAAATAATATCAGAAAAAATAATCACAGAAGAGTTAAAAATCAGAGTTAAAAATAATCACAGAAGTATTAGGCCTTACAGTGCGAGCTGAAGCGAAAGTGATAGAAATCAAAACTGTCATTGAGAATTTATAAAAACTGATCCTGAATTTGTTTGTGGAATTATTAAATAGGTTGCAGAGGATCAAAAAAACAAAGTGACTGAAGAGCAGTGAAAATTAGAGTGTGAAAAATGTAAGCTCAGCTTGAGATGGAAAAACAGTCAAAATTAGAGTGCAAAAGAATTAAGTTAGCTCAGCTTGAGAAGGAAATCAAGCTCCAAAAACTAAAACTACAATTGGCTGGTGAAAATGCCAATTGTGCTATGTTTACAAATTCTGAACCAGCATTGCGAAGTTTAGAAAATATTATTAAAAGCATTAAAACACTAACTATAGCTGTATCTCAAAGACCGGAAGCTCTGCATTTGTTTTTTCAGTCACATGAGAAAGCTTTTACTACAGTCAAAAGTCGTTAATTTGGACACCCATAATCCGGAATGATCTATAATCCGGACCTCAAAGCTACAAACTTTCTGCGCATGCGTCGAGTTGACGAATGCACTTTACGGCTATGCGCTTTACGGCTGCGAATTTGCATGTGCACGTGCACAAAATACGTTTACGAATGCACGTTTAATGTATAACGGACGGGATAAGCTAAGCTAAAATTATCTAATTATCTATTTCAGTTAATGTTGCAGATTGCGTTCTTTCTTAATCTTCGAATTGGATCCGGCTTATTATTTTTTGCAGATTGTTAGAGCAATTTTATAAAAGTAAGCTTGAACTTTCAATTATTTCAAATAGAAATTCCGATATATATTTACTAATATGTAAAGGATATACAAAGCGAAAATATCTTTCGGAGTCCATTAAACAAAGAGTGGAATTGCTGCAAAAAATGAATAAAGGCCTTTGTTTATCTTTAACGCCACGGAGCGCAATGAATTGGAAGTTGATGAATTGGAAGTCAACACTATCCTTATCTTAAGGGCAGATGTTTTTATTTTATTTGGCTTATAATTGCTTACTAAATGTGGTATTTCCTCTCGATGTACTCCGTCTTTGATATGATTTAAATCAAATACCTCGTCATTATAATTCGCTTCCGATAGCGAAGAAAGTGACAGAGGTTATTGAAAACAAAAAAATTTCGATTGACAAATTAGTCGGTATTCTCGACACAGCAATTATAGGACTTGAACAGCGGAACTTTGTAACTGAACAAGAAATTATGTCTGTTTATAGAATTAAAGAGAATGTATTATCACATAAAAAACGAAGCAACTTAAACAACTTACATTGAAAGAAATGTTTAATAAAGTAAAAAAATAAATATTAAGCTTTTTTTTTTTTGTAAATTTTGATACCCTTTAGATCATAATTGTTCTTTATTTCATAAATTACGGTTTCATATTTTTAATTTTATAATTTCTGCATGCCATTTTACCAGATTTAAACTGATGATTTATAAATCTGGAATCGCCAAAAGTCCCGACGAGTCCGGATTAACGACTTTTGACTGTACTAAAAAGCGTACCAGTTGAGTTAAAATCAGAAGTGTTGGTTAATTTATTAGGTGATAAATGTAATCATGTTTTAACGTATACTACTGAACAAGAAATCCCAAATTTTGATAAATTAAAAGCACTAATCTTGAAAGAATTTCAGCCGACACTGCGTGAATGTTTGAATAATTTTAAAAATGCTCAGAGACATTAATCTGAATTGTATGTTCAGTTCGCCTCTCGACTCAGTGCAACTTTCAATTATTATTGTTGGTGAAGAGAAGTATATGATATTAAGAAATTGTGTGATCTCATTGTATTGTATCTGATAGGTTGTTTGAAAACACTTGATTTTAAAACAAAGGAACATATTAGTGTTCGGGAGGGCCAAAGTTGGTTCCCACCTAATCAATTGGGAAGAGAATGTGACTTATTTTATTCATCCAGGTGTAAGTCTTTAGCTGATACCAGTAACGTGCAAATCAAAACTGCAGAAAATAAAAAAGCTTAATTTTTCCAAAAACAATCTTAGAAAAGCTCAGAGCAATTTCAAGTATTCAGGAAAGCTTGTAAATCAGAATAGTAGTAGAACAGAATGTATTTGCTATGTATGTGGGAGTAAGGGTGAATTGTTTCATATTGCGAGAAATTGCCCCAAACGTTTGGAAAAGGAGGAAAATTTGTCTCAAAAAAAGGTATCTGGGTTATAGATTAGGTTGGATAGTGCAGCTAGAAATAAGTTAGAATTTATTGAACTGCTGATTGATGGTAAGAAAATAAAATGTTTAATAGATTCTGGGAGTGAACTGAAATCTTGAAAGAAAAGTTGTAAAGAAATCTCTTTTTCCCGATAAAATACCATCTGGATTAATAGAAATCAAAAGTTCTTTTGGTCATGTGGCTAAAGCGGAAACGACTAAGTTTATTTTTTCTTTATGCGAAAGCGAAAAACAAATTGAACTAAAGGCGGCCATGGTTTATGAGCTGATAACAGACTGTATATTGCCCCCCCTTCATGTTTAGCTGACATCTTCTGTGATCGGGTGATGATTAT